GAGACCCATTGATAGCACTCTAATAAAATATCTAAATTATGATATCAGGAGGCCAACTTCTGTACATATGCCTCTGGGAATTATCGGGGTTCGAAGAAAAAGCTTAGAGTGTTTGTTTAATAAATTCTGAAGTAGTCGGAAACGCTGAACAGTTTCTCGCGAGTTCAAAATTCTCTGGTATGAGGATTCCAAGTTAGACGTTTGTCCTGATGGAGTCCTAGATATCAATTTTTTCAACAGGGATAAGTAGAGTATTGTTTAAGAATGTTGTAGGACAGAAAGTCATATGTTCACGGCGAAGGGTAAAGGTAATTTGATGGGGTTAATTTTTTAATCCTCCAGTTTTGAGACCATTCATTAAAGTTTGTGATGCGTGATTGAAGAGTTTGGGATGCAATTAACGGGTCATTATTAACTGATATGACACATGTGTGTGTCATCGGCATAGGAAATGGTGATTTAGGTTGAGCAACTTTTAATTACATTTTAGAACTTCTTTATTGGGAAGGATTACAATCTATCTCAAAGGACATTTATAATAATGTTCAGATATCACATTCACGCTCTATGTACAATAAATAAAAATACATTAAACATAAAAAAAAATAGGTTTGAAGCTTTAGAGCTTCCTGACGAGGACCACGAGGATATTGACAAGTTATGGGTAGAGATCAGGGATAATATTAAAGCGGTCGGTAACTCGTGTCTAGGAAAAAAGGAAAATAAGAATAACAAACCGTGGTTTGATGAAGATTGCTTAAACATGTGTGAAAAAAGGAAAGCCGCTAAATTAAAAGCTCTAAATAATCCTAGCGAAGACAATCGGGAATACTTCCGAATCTCAAAGAACGAAACGACAAAATTGCTCAAAAATAAAAAAAGGGAGTATCTTAAAAATAAAATAATTGAAATAGAAACTAATAGAATCGAAAATAACGTAAGAGACATGTACAAAGGTATAAACAGATCACGTAAATATGTAGGGCCCGTAACGTCTGGAATTAGGGATGATAATAACAATATTCTGACCGATCCGGTTGACATATTGAATAAGTTTAAGGAGCACTTTGACAACATTTTAAATACGGGAAATTATGATCGGTGTCCTCCTTCTGAGTACCAGAGTGCTGAACCGTTAATAGAAGGACCAAGTAAAGAGGAAGTTGAAGTAGCTATCGGTAAATTAAAATCATATAAAGCAGCGGGAATCGATAATATTCCTACTGAACTAATTAAGGCATGCGGGGAAGCTGGAGTTTCTAAAATACATCGGTTGGTTGAAAAGATCTGGGTGAACGAGAAATTACCTGAAGAATGGAAAGAATCTATTCTTATTCCGATTCACAAAAAGGGTCCGAGGACGGATTGTAATAACTATCGAGGAATTTCACTCCTTCCGGTATGTTATAAAATATTCACTGTAATCTTAACCAGTCGAATCACGGAATACGCAGAGGAAATTATCGGAGACTACCAATGCGGATTTAGACGGAATCGTTCGACTATTGATCAAATATTTTCTTTACGGCAAATATTAGAGAAAAAATTGGAGTATAACGGTATTGTTCACCAGCTGTATATAGATTTTAAAAAGGCTTACGATTCTATTGACCGCCAGAAACTGTATAATATTCTAATCGAGCAGGGGATTCCAAAAAAACTAGTAAATCTAGTCAGGATGTGCTTGACGGAGACACTCAATAAAGTTAGAATCGGTAATAATTTGTCCGAAAAATTTGAGGTTCGTTCGGGCTTAAAACAGGGGGATTCTCTTTCGCCTGTCCTGTTCAATTTGGCATTAGAACATGCCATTAGGGAGGTAATGCGTACCGAGAAAGGGTTGGATCTGGGCGGGACAACATCCGTGCTGGGCTATGCTGATGATCTGGTACTGTTAAGCGAAGACGTTGAAACTATAAAACTAAATACGACAACGTTAATGAAAGCCGGTAAAGAACTAGGACTCGAAATAAACGTGGATAAAACAAAATATATGGTTAGCTGCAAAAATGGCGATACTACTGGTGATATCGATATAGATGGTAATATGTTTGAACAGGTAGATAAATTTAGGTATCTAGGTTCTACGATAACTAGAAAAAACGAAATTGAAGAAGAGATTAAAGTTAGACTGAAGGCGGGGAATGCTTGTTATTTTTCTGTGACAAAACTACTCAGTTCGCGCCTCTTGTCCCGAAACTTAAAAATTAGAATCTATAAAACAATTATCTTGCCTACAGTTCTTTATGGATGCGAAACTTGGCCGCTTACATTAAGGGATGAGCAGCGTCTTAAGGTTTTTGAAAATAAAGTATTGCGTAGAATATTCGGACCGAAGAAGGATGAGTTAACCGGAGAGTTCAGACGGTTACACAACGCCGAATTGCGTGAACTATATCCGGGTAATATAATTGAGGTAATTTCATCGCGGCGAATCAAATGGGCTTGTAAAGTTGTTGGGCTTAGTAACGAGAGAATTCCTAAAAGGTTAATATTTGCTGTGCCGAATGGTAAGCGTCGGAGGGGTAGACCGAAGCGAAGGTGGGAAGATTGCATTAAAGCTGATCTGAAGGGACTGGGTTTGGACGGTGAACGGTGGAGGGAGGTGTGTAACAAGCGATTGGTGGTGTCGGCATCGAACCTCCGGGTTCGCTAAGCCTTATTATTATTATTATTATTATTATTACATTAAACATAAAAATAATTTATATATATATATATATATATATATATTCAACAACACACGCTTCAACACACTCCTCGCTATGTGTATATATATATGTACACTTTATTTTATTTTTTCTTCTCCTAATTTTTAGGCATACTCACTTAAATATCTTAGGGAACATACGTATATCATTGAATTTGCGTTCCTTTCTAATTTCATTCAATTATTATGCTATTATTTTAGCTCCAATATTGTAGTACTGAATCCCTATTACCCAACTGTTCTCGTTAATTTATCCTAAGAGCTTAATTAATACTTAATTTATTACTATTATTTTGTTATTATTCATTGTAATAAGTCTTTTGCCAGATTTATGGTTAATTTATATGAACAATACTCTTATTTTAAAGGGACCTAGTCCCAGAATAAAGATGATTATTCTATTTCTATATATATACATACCATATATATAAGAATAAAATAACTTAAAAATAAATAAAAAAAGAACACATACATACCTCTATACACTACTTATAATCAGGCCAGGAAAATCCGAGCCAGAATTCTCCCTCCAACTTGGGAGGGATAAGTATGAATCTAGGAGATCCCTGCAATTCTCTCCCAACCACGTCACTGAGGCTAAGCCCAGTGGAGTGAGCGAGAGCGCCTTAGCCACATGCACTCATGTCGTGATTGGAGAATCTGGCCATTACCAGAACTCCAATATATACAAACTATAAAACGTCGCGGGGCTACTGCCGTTTTAACCTTCTAGGAGGATTGTAAGGATGGGTGGTGCTAAATAGAGATTGTACAAGGGGATTCGGATGATAGATAAGATTCTGGTGAAATTTGGAGATTTTTTCTGGGATAAGGTCTAGGACAAATAGGATATTAAGGTAATGGTGTATGGTTTTGTTGGTTACATAGAAAGGAACATCAACAATTGTTCGAAGGACTTTGGACTGAAAGGGTTTGATGCGCTTAGTGTTAAAAAAATTTGCTGCCAACTCAAGTTTGTAAGTTCAAGCAGGTTTCAGTATTATCTTGTAGATAGGTATTTTAATTCCAATTGAAAGTCTCTATCATCTTACCTATCATCCGAATCCCGTTGTACAATCTCTATTTAGCACCACCCTTCCCTATAATCCTCCTAGAAGGTTAAAACGGCAGTAGCCCCGCGACGTTTTATAGTTTGTATATATTGGAGTTCTGGTAATGGCCAGATTCTCCAATCACGACATGAGTGCATGTGGCTAAGGCGCTCTCGCTAACTCCACTGGGCTTAGCCTCAGTGACGTGGTTGGGAGAGAATTGCAGAGATCTCCTAGATTCATACTTATCCCTCCGAAGCTGGAGGGAGAATTCTGTCTCGGATTTTCCTGGCCTAATTATAAGTAATGTATAGAGGTATGTAAGTGTTCTTTTTTTATTTATTTTTAAGTTATTTTATTCTTATATATATGGTATGTATATATATAGAAATAGAAATAGAAATAGAAAAATTATCTTTATTCTGGGACTAGGTCCCTTTAGAATAAGAGTATTGTTCATATAAATTAACCATAAGTCTGGCCAAAAGACTTATTACAATGAATAATAACAAAATACTAGTAATAAATTAAGCATTAATTAAGCTCTTAGGATAAATTAATGAGAACAGTTGGGTAATAGGGATTCAGTACTACAATATTGGAGCTAAACAATAGCATAATAATCATTGAATGAAATTAGAAAGGAACGCAAAATCAATTTTATAGGCAAAGAAAGAAAAAATAAAATAAAGTGTACATATATATACACATAGCGAGGAGTGTGTTGAAGCGTGTGTTGTTGAATATATATAAAGTGGATTTATATTATTTGGTATTAAATACCATATATTTATATACATAACCATATTATATACCACATATATTTACATACATAACCATATTATGCGTAACCATAAGATTGTGTTACAATTATTATAATTAATTAATCTACTAAAATTAATTACCCCTTCAGGTACATTAATTGGATATGATAAAATAAAAGGTAATTAACAAAATAAATGGTAACGTCATTCACAGATATCCCTAAATTTATTTCACAAGAAAAGTACTCCCGGTCATATAGCATGTACCGGGTTCCCCAATATTGTACAGATGCTCTATCAGGATCTGAGTCGGATGACAGTATGGCGGCGTCATCGGCTCAATTACATTAAAGGAATTAATTTTTTTTATAGGAAAAAGTAAATATTGAATCTTTTAAAACGATATTTCAACAGCTAATTGAGGTTAGAGTGTGCAATGGCGGAGCGGAATTACATATTCGACCTCCATTTTTACCTTTTCTCATGGACGTATCCTGTAGAATAGACCATATGATATGACCAGATGATATGATGAAAAATATTTGACAGCCAACATTTTAAATTTATTTTTACACAATCAGCTCATTAGGTACTCCACAATAGCAAGAGCGAGACATAAGGTTATGATGTCATTGATCCACAATAAAATAATGAACTTATTTATTAATATCCATTTTTGTCGATCAAACGAAATCGAGGTTTGGATCTCGGTGTACACCTCGAATCCCTGGGGGCTATCGGGGCCACACATTGCCAAGCTGAGGCGAACTGAAAACAGAAAAGCGTTCATTAGTCGTTTAGCAAATGTTCATTCAGTTCTAATGAATGAATGAAACATCTAATTCTTACACATATTTTTATCCTTTTCGCATATTTCGTTTACTCCATTGCCTGTAATTAAAAAAAATATATGCATATAAATAAATATATTTATATAGCCAAATTGGAAAAACTAAGTTTTGCAACCAGTAACATATACAACAAGAGAAACCTGTCCAAGGAAGCGAAAATACGACACTACAATACAGTTGTTAAACCTGTGATACTATACGGGACGGAAACCACATTCCTCCCCAGTCTGGAAAAATTGTTGAGAATAGAGCGAAGAATTCTAAGAAGGTTTTACGGCCCCAAAAAGACAAAAGAAGGATACAGGCTAAGATCCAATCAGGAAATATACAAGAACAAAAGAGATCTAGAAACGGAAATTAGGATCAGGAGACTGAAATTCCACGGACATATGGTAAGAATGGCCCCTGAAAGACTTAACAAGGAAATATTCCAAAAAATCCGTAGATACAAAAGCTTGGGAGGATACATCAGGCAGCTGAAGGAAGAAACGGAAAGACTTGGAAAAACGGACCGGGACTGTCTGGACAGAGAGGGGTATGGTAAGAGACTAAATGAGATCACGGTTCTTGCTAAGAAGAAAAGTTCGAGAAAGGGAGTCGCGTGGACGGAGGAGAGAAAGCACTCGGAGATAATGAGAGAGAACTGGAAAGAAAGGAAAAACAAGAAAGAAGCCAAATGTCATGATATTCGCGTGGTCTCTATGGCCGTTCCGTGAAAAAAAAAAAAAAATATATATATATATATATAATATATATATATATATATATATATATATATATATATATATATATATATATATATATATATATATATATATATTTAAAGGATGCATACATGAAAAAACATAACAAATTAAAAAAAAATGATAAAAATATTTAATTCTTTCTTTTTTATTGACGCAACATTCATTTACTAATTTACATTCAGTAGAAATTAATATTTTAAAAAATTAATAAAACTTTATTTATTTTTTATCTTTAACTGTTTATCCGCACCTGTCATCGTATTGACAATCAGCAGACGTGTTGTTGGCATAATGAGGTTGGCATTATAGGCATGAGGAAGGATAGTACCCAGCAGTACCTCTTCCTGGTCATTACTTTGATTTAGGCGAGGAGATCTCTCATCCAGCTCCTTTTAACTCTTCTCCTGTCAGTCATAGCCATGTCGTTTATAAGTCTGTTTGTGTGTCCGTGTAGTTTGAGATGAAAACGAGAGTAGAGAGTACGTATGTGTTGGTCGATAGCTGGTTGTCGTAAGTCGTTATGTAAGTTTTGTTGTCGACGTACCAGGGAGCTCTTGTTATAAGTCGTAAAATTTTGGATTGAAATGACTGTATTTTTTGTAAGAGCGTCTTATTTGTCGAACCGTAAATCGTAAATTTAAATTATAAATATAAAGCTATGAAAATTTATATTAATTTTTAATTATAGAATATATATTTCTTGGTCGTCACGTTAAAAAGCAATTTGAAAGATCTCCATTTGTTCATAAATATTTTTATTTAATTTTCAGCATCATTAAACCTACAAATGCACCTCTCCTTGATTGAACACTGTTGTAAGAAAGGATCCTCATAATGTTATGTGTCGTAAATCCTGTCCAACAGTTTATTTTAACTACAGCTTCCTTTCTTGGATTTCTCCTAGACAGACGACTAACGTGGAACCCTCATACTAGACTTAAAAGACAGGAACTTAACCGACGATACGGCCAACTGTACGGACTACTAAATAGGAAATCTAAACTTTCTATTGAAAACAAATTACTGATCTGCAAGACAATACTGAAACCTATTTGGACTTACGGATTAGAACTGTGGGGAACAGCTAAATTTTCTAATATCTAATTCTTCCAGTCCAAATTCCATCAGAACCTTATCAATCATCCAAATCCCCTAGCACAATCCCTTTCTAGTTCCACTCATCCCTACAATCCTCCTCGATGGTTGAAGCGGCAGTGGCCCTCAGATCTTTTGTAGTATATATCTTGGAGTTCTGGGAATAGCCAGATTCTCTATTCAAGACATGAGTGTATGGGGCTAAACCGCTTTCGCTCAAACTCCACTGGTTTTAGTACCAGTGAAGTGGTTGAGAGAATAGCGCAGGGATTTCTTAGAGTTCTGCTTTTCCTTCTATAAATGGAGGGAGAAGCCTGGCTTGGGTTTCCCTGCCTGATTATATATATACTAGTAGGCCTGTGCGAAAAATTCGTACAGCATATAGTTATCAAATGCCAGATTAATAAGAAAACAAAATAATGCAACCTATTAAAAGATAAAGAAATCAAACGTTACTTTATCGATAAATATAATCGACAAAGAAGACAAAAATTAATTTAAATCTTCATTTTGTTTGGAACCAACATGTTTACAAATTTCAGTAAGCTGTAGCTTTGCTAAAAATTGTCCGAATTTGATGATTTTTTTTTTCATTGTGTAGGAAATTTAGTAACCTTTTATATAATCACGGGCATAACCCAGTATAATAGGGAAAAGTGTGTAATTTTTTAGTTATTCGCAAATAAAGTGTGTTTTCTTTTATAACTCTGTTGTCTGAATTTTCGGGGTGATTGGACTATTTTGTCCGCCTGAAGGAGAAGGAAACCTTCGAAATTGGTGTCTCAATCTTGAGATTTGTTGAAAAAATGACTATGATACGGCTTACCGATCAAAAAGACCATCGATAAATAATATAAACTCCTCCTCTCTCGATCATAGCGACCTCAAGTCGACGAAATGAGACATGTATTCAATGACAGTACTACAATTAATGTAAGGTTTGCTACCAATGGTTACTTTCTCAACAAGCGTGTTTCATGTGATAATATTCCTCTGTACTCATTTACTTGATGTATTCATACTAATACAGTTGTAAATATCATAATAAAATATTTAAAAAGAAAATGTAAGGTTGTGTGGATGCGAACAATATGCCTTGCGTTATCTCGAAAATAGTACGTTTTTGGGCTTAAAAACGCAGGATCCGATAGTTCCGAGGGAACTATTCCGGTCTTGCTGTTCGCATCAAAATCTTCTAGATCCAATTTGTCCCGTATCGATTTACAGATCTACCACTGTTCAGGTATTGAAGAATAGCAAAATGTTTGTATCGACTTTATTTATTTTAGAAAGAAAAACAAAAGTGGAGAATACGATTCGCTAACCCCCGTGAAATTCTGAATCCAACGGTACCCCATTCATGGTATTTGAGCATGACACGAGCTTATATTTGGTACAAAACTGATTTCGAGCCTTACTGTAATAATATATATACGGATATATTGCATATAGGTATGACAGTGTTTTTAATTTACTTATCTTTAGGTTATTTTATTTGTTATGGTACATAGTTTTTTTTTTTAATATTTAGTTATTATTTTACTTTTGTTAATTTTATATATTCTGTATATATGGTGTGAATGTGTTCATATATCACTATAATTATGGTCCTGAGACATATTGTTATATGCCTAATTAAATAAATAAAAAAATTTAAAAAATGTTAAGTAAAAGCAAAATATGAAATTGAGTACTTTTCAAAAATATATTTTATCATTTTTAATTTTAAGTTTATTTTAACGACCTCCATTTCCGATCAACTAATTTTACTAAAAATGTTCTATCTATTTTAGTCTTTTATTTAAATTTAAATATATTAAATATTTCAATTTGTGCACAATATTTACTCAAACCTTGTTATTTATACCAATAAGACTGACGTAACAATAACTGATGCAAATTGAAACAACTGTTTGTCCTGATGAGAATTGCAACATCTGTAACCTAATATTTAATGTATTTCATATTTACATTAACGTATTTAAATAAACATATTTTGCAATTTGACGAATTTTGCTAGTTATTAAAAATATTTTTTTTTTGCTAATAACGTAACCATGTATATTTATCTTTATATTTTTTATACGTGCTATTTTTGATGCAATACAGGCAGAAATGGAGAAGGATGGTTAATATAGCGAAACATCTAAAAGATCTGTAATCACAAAAAAAGTATTATTTTTCATTTCTATTATCTCGTATCGTATTAATTGACTCAGAAGAATCCATACATTCAACAATATATTTCATTACAATGTATTTTCTTTCTAAATATTTCGAATCATCGATCTCCTTGATATGTATTTTTTTTTTGTTATATTCAAAGCTATATGTAATGGATAACCTTCGAATGGCTGTGATCGCTTGAAAGGTAAAAATAGAGGAAATTTAATATTCCCAAAATATTACCGAAACATCTGAACACAAAACCCACTTTACTCACATTCTTCGAAAAATTCCGACATCCTTATAATCTCCACCGATGGATTTAAATCAGACATAGTAAAGTCAGCATAACTTTCTCATCATTTTTATTGGTTACAAAATTACCTATATTTTAAGGTTTGAGAATAAAATATTTTGGGACAAGCATTTTTCGAAACACAGTAATGCCACTTTTCCCTCCACATGTGGAACCCGAAAGGGTTCGGAGATCAATTTTTTTCGGAGATCAATCGATTTTTATTTACTTATATGTTTATATATATATATATATATATATATATATATATATATATATATATATATATATATATATATATATATATATATTCTTTTCTCTTTTGTTCTTTTTTCTTATTCTTTTGTTATTACTTTATTTATTTATATTTTTGTATATACGGTATGAATGTACTCTCTGAACTCTATTATAAGTGTCCTTATATAATATTTCTGAATAAATTGTTTAATAATAAAAAAAAGTAATGCCAAATTCACAGTAGCAGGTTTGATATATCTGAGTTTTGATCATATAAGAGTTCAAAAATGCATTCGACATTTGCGAATTGCGTATTTGATTATTCGTGATTAAAAAAAAAATATAATATTACTTAAAATATTTAAGTTTGTAAACTTAAACAATTCCCAATTACAATGTGTATGTATTACAGTACATATCCAACATGCATTAGAGGTATATTTTCATTCGTGAAATGAATTGAACAAACAATGATTTAAAAAATAATTTAGTAATCGGACCGATTTGAGAACAGTGTTACCCCTAAAGAAGAAAAGTTAATAATGACCTCCTTACAGAAACTGTTCAATTAATATCTGATGATATGAAGGCAAGGAAGTTAAGACCCTATCAAGAACCCTCCACACAACAATGAATGCCTCAATGATAGGAAAAAGAACATATTTCATAGTACTGACCCCTTTTTATCAAATTATTTACATCCTCCTGAAACTTCGTAGATAGCTCATCTCTTTGTAACCTACAAACATTTTGAAGAGACTGATGGTTGAGTTGACCAGTCAAAATAAAAATGATATAAATAAATAATAATGTTTATTTTAAAATTTACCGACGTTTCGACCGGAAGTTCAAGCCTTCACCAGGGCTGAACTTCGGGTCGAAACGTCGGTAAATGTTAAAATAAAGATTATTATTTATTTTTGCCATTTTTATTTTTACTGATCATCCCAACTATCCTTCTCTTCATTATTCACTACAGTCAACCATCAACCCACAATCACAAACAAATTTGGAATCGGTGCGTTTTCAATCTGGAGATCGTCAAATCTTGTTTATTTAATTAGTTGTTAAAAACTCATAAGTAACCATTTGCTTTCCACTTGAATCGTAAGGTAATATGAGCACAAACTTCAGAAAAAAAGTGGCCTTCAAAAATATTGAGCTGTTTGGCGTTACTTACAACCCCAAAATGACAAAATAACAAGGATTTATAGGCCAAAAGGCCCAATATTTTTGTAGGCCACCCTTTTTATCAATTCTTACAAATACAATATTTGTATGTCACGATGAGATGAAGCTATTCACGAAGATTCAGGCGGATGTTAATAATTTGATAAAAAGGGGTCTGTACCACACTACTTTGACTACCTCGTCCTGAACCATTTGACTACCAAGTGGAAGAACAAACATCAAATGTTTAGATCGAATAAGCAAAGATACAATAGATCTGCATGTCGATAGCTGCATAGAAATAGTCTAAGATATGCAGAGATGGATAAGCCTTTAGTGTAAAGGAGTATAAAGATCTGTAAGACGAGATTGTGTTTTCTGAGAGTGGACTAAGGTTTGGAATTTTGAAAGACGGAGTCCCTCAAGAATAACAGAATGTTACAGAGAAAAGAATCAATTCTATCCAAAAGAACTGTTACATTAAATAAAAATAGATAAAAAACTTAAGTAAACTAACAATATATTCAAAACCAAACAATAAAACTGTTAACAAAATACTTATGAACTACATTCAATATTAATAAGAAATGAAACAAAATTGTATAAGCTAAAAAAAATAAAGGAAGAAAAACAAAAATAAATCCATCTAATAGACAGACGGTCATCAAGTAAAAATAAATTAAATAGTAAAAGATAAAGAAATAAAGAATTATGTATTCTTAGTATATTTTTTTTTGTTGTAAAAATTTCAATTCTATATTGATAAATATTACAATCTGTCACACCCAATGACACTAGTAATAGTGATAGAAGAATCACTCATTCACACATGTACAATAAATAAAAATAAATTAAACAGCAGAATAATAATTCTAAAAGTAAATGTATATAAACAAAAAAAAAAAACTAAACTTATCAAAATAACTACTTTTATACGATATTGATAATATTCATTCACTAGCGATCTCTGACCTTTTCTCCCATCCGTGGGAGAAAAGGCAGTACTCAATGAGATCCCAGCGCTTCTCACTCAGCCACATTAATAGTATTAAGGATTGATAGTAACAATTAAAACAACAAAGATAATACGAAAATAAATAAATTAGGTAACTTTAAGAGCATAGACTTCTTGTAGGACAGAACCGACACGGTATGAAGAATATAAATAAAAATGTAACGAACGTAAGTATATAAAGATCGTAAGAAGAAGATAATGTATATATATACAATTTTTTATTGTTTTTGTTACCTTTTATCTTTTCTATTCATAAGATTGTATTTTGGTTTATTATTTTCAATAATCAACCATTGTGATCGACAAAAAAATTTCAAAAACTTAACCCACTCTCAAAATTTGAGGTTTCACGTTTCAGGATGCGTAGAATTCGAAAAACGAATAAAATTTGTTTTATGTCCGTCCGCCGTCCGCGCATTTTCTCCGAAACTACTGGACCGGTTGTTTTCAAATTTGGATATAAAATCAGAGGTCACCCAAGGATGATCCTCTCTCTCTCTCTCTCTCTCTCTCTATATATATATATATATATATATATATATATATATATATATATATATATATATATATATATATATATATATATATATGTATGTATATATATGGTTGTATTTGTTTTTTTCTTTTTCTGCTCGTAATCTATTACGTTATATGTAGATCACAATACTTGTCTACTTTTTCACAATATCTTCACATGTTCTCACTTCAACGTCTTAAGGAACATATATAAATCATTTATTTACTCTAGTTATTTTCTTTTATCCTTATTTTGATTTTTTTTTTTATTATATTGTAGCACTAAAATTGGTTACTTATTTAGCATTTCTTCCCCATTTTATTTAGTTATTAGTATGTTGTTGTTTTTTGTACCAATATTATAATATTGTAACCCTTGTTTTAATATATAAAATCTGCTTTCCTTAATATACTCTCCAAAACTATTATATCTCATTTATTACTTCGATTGTAGTTACTCTGTATTATAATAGGTCATCTGGCCAGATTTATTGTCAATTGGTTTGAACAATATTGTTATTCTTAAGGGACCTAGTCCCAGAATAAAGATGATTTTCTATTTCTATTTCTATATAAATAAAACAGTTTTTTGTTCAAAGGTCTGTTATTTAGATAGATAGATAGATAGAAATTAATCTTTATTCTGGGACGAGGTCCCTTATGAATAACAGTTATGAACAAAAAAATAAAAACCACATCTGGCCATTAATTAAATTAATCAATATTAAGGAAAATATGCAGTATCTCAGTAAAAGTATATTAAAAGAAGTTATATACTTCTTTTAATAATACAAAAAAAATGACACCATTTTGAAAAAAAAGTAAAAGAAAAAAAAACATTATTTAAATGGAAAAACAAAACAAAATAATGTAAGGATGGGCTGATTTTTATAATAAAAACTCAATCAATTTTAACAACCATTCACCTCAGTCAAAATCTGTTTCGCAATATTTCTTTCATTGTATAACGTCATTTTGGGATGTGAGAAGGAATTGGTAAAGATGATATTTAAATGAGGACAAGGAAGTGGCATGGGGGATATCAGATGGCAAGGAATTCCAGAAGGCTGTGGATCGGGCAATAAGGGAATATTCAAATGTGTTAGTTCTATGGGAAGGGATATAAAGGTCGGAAACACGGGATCTTGTTTTCTGAGAGTGGACCACGGTTTCAAACTGTAGGAGACTGTAGATGTAGAAAGGGTGTAGGGTGTTGATCGTTTGGAATAGGAAAGATCCAAGGAAATATTGTCTGCGGAAGAAGGGAAGAGCCACTCATCGTAAAGTTGGGACACATGAGACCGCCTCGATACGTGGTTCGCCAGTTATGTGAATATGGCTTGGAATAGGATGATTTCAAATGTCTATTCCTGAAATTAGCAGTTCAGGTAACATAAAAGTTTCGAAAAGAGACAGGTCTGTGAAAAGAGGTATAAAGGTCAGAAGGTCTTATTTATATTTATGTTTGCCAAATGTATAAACCAGATAAGCCAGAAGCAGAGCCTATTCAACCCTGTAGCTATGTGGTAACTATAGCAACTACACATGTTTTAATTAGACTGGTTTACCTCTGTTGGTGTGACGATGGCTTGACATGGTATGCATCCCACCTTGATTCTGATTGCTCTGCAACGTTTTCAAGCTCTTTGACTGTTGCAATATTTGCCTGAAGTTAGAAAATATTTGGCTGCAGTACCGGTACTTGTCTGCCATCTTGACCTTGGATCACCTAGTCTTGATGGGAGCATCTCCCTTTGGCGGGAGATTATGAATGTTTTATTTTCATTTTTTTAATAATAACATATGTTCTTGACGAACTCTGGTGTAAGCAGCTGGAATCTCTTTATAATTTTTTTTTTCTTTCATAGCTATTAGTTTCATTTTCAACATTTCCGTCTAATTTTATCTTCATTCGTATAAATTTACAAATGAAACCAATTCTTATCTTCATCTTGATACTTTTCTGCCTCACTTTGGTTCTATTCGCTTTAATTTTCAATTTAAGAGTATAAACATATGTTTTGACGAGATGTTTAAATAAGGTTATATTATTAAACTTTCATGTTGCGGTCACCTAGGCGCAGTGAATCTGTGATATGGAAAACTCCCAATACTGAATTATCTTAATGACAATGAAAAGAATCTTTATATCAGGAAATAATAATTGAATCCAAATTAATGAGTGATTGAATTAATTGAAAAGCACTAAAAATAAAATTGTTGATACTTTAAGTATGAATAGAATTTTTAAAAATTATGTACATGTTAGTAGTGACTATTACATTATTGTTATATTTTATACTTAAATCAAATTACTGCAACAAATTCTACACAACTGGACATACAATATTCAATATACAAATTATGATATATATATATATATATATATATATATATATATATATATATATATTATATATATATATATATATATATATATATATATATATATGCAATCATATATGAATTTTGTTCTCAGACACTGTTTTAAAAAAAAATTAAATATTTAGGATGATAAATCATTAGGAAATTCTATATAGATTTCTTATTTCGGTTACCAACGTGTTGATCCAATAATGTGGGTCATCGTCAGAGCCAAACATTAAAAAAATATATCTTAAAATTTAAATATTTAATTAATATTTTAATTTTAAATTCGTCTGTGGCTTTAGTGCCTTCCATCAGTCTCCACTGGCTTCTAATAGCAGTGATACGACTGGGATCTCCTGGCGTCTTGCTTTGCCTTCAACATGTGGGGGAAAAAGCCTAGCTCGGAGATTCCTGGGCGAATGTATATGTTGTATATATGTACGAATGTGTTTAGAAGATTTTATTTTATTTGTTTATTTTTTCTTATTTATTTACTTTTTTTATCAGTATTATTAATTTACTTCTTTACTTTTGTTATTCTTATATATTGTATGAATTAGAACTTTTAGCCTTAATACTCATAGCTCTCCATTAATATATAATTATTAAATAAATAAAGTTTAAGTTAAAAAAATTAAATAAATATGCCGAGAGAAAAATATAAATAGCTCATAGTAAGCATAGTAAGCAAAAAGAGCTATGGTAAAGAATAAATAAGGTGAATTGTTTTGAATTTTAAAAACAAATTGAAGTACAACAAAGGAACATCACACACTGAGGGTTAATACTAGGAAATAACATGATTGATGAAAAATGAATGAATGAAAAAAATATGTATATCAAATGAAGAATTTGATTAACGAATATCATTTTTTTTTTTTTTTGTATTTCAACTCGTTTTTAGAATTCAAAAAAATTATCACCTCAATTACTTTTAACCTTAATTTAATCTGTGAATTTTATTTATTTATTTAATTTTTGTATACTATTTATTTGTTTCTTTTAGTGTATTAGAATAAAGTTACCAGTAGTACACATCAAGCCAGTAGTAGACACATGAAACTTTAACTTAAAAAAATTAAGAGTTGGAACAATCAGAAGATTTGGATTTGGTGTCACTTTAAACTTTAGCTTATACTGTGTAGCTAATATTGCACAAATGCGAGACTGAGACTAGTCTTGTTCTTGCAAACTCAGTCTTGGTCTTGCGCAAGAGTCTTGCAGTTACTTATTAGCTTGTTGCAATAGAGATATTACTGTAATTTTTTAAATAGGAGAAACCCAATAATAAAAATTAGAGGAGTTAAATGCAAAAGTATATTGGTTATACCAATTATTAACATATATTAACAATATTGTCAAGTATTAGTAACTATTTTGCCTTAATTTTTAATTTAAAAATCGATTTTTTTTTCACCAGTCCTCGTCTTGGTCTTGCAACAGTTAGGCGTCCTTGGTATTGCAAAGTGCAAAACCAAGACCGATTTTGGGCATCACTATGTGTAGCCACTGGAATGAGGTGGAAACCAATTGAGCAATGGATGGTTACAGCAACTAATATCTTTTTACTGTTATTCAAGATCCTGCTGTTATACCAAATCAGCTAAGGAAGGCAGTTAGATTTTGATCAATTATTCTTTTATTGTTCCAAGATTTTTCATAGTTGTTTTCTCTAAATGATATTGTACACAATGAAATCAATAGTTAACGTGTTTTTGTGTGTTTTGTTTGATTGAGCACAAAAACAAACTGTCTACTTCTGGGATACTGATAATACCTCTTGTTCCAGTTGTAGACAGAAGTGTCTACTACTAGAAAACTCGATTTTTTTTTAGTAAATATTACATACTAGCTATGTGTGTGTGTATATATATATATATATATATATATATATATATATATATATATATATATATATATGTGTGTGTGTGTATATATATATATATATATATATATATATATATATATATGTATACATATATATGTATATGTATGTATGTGTGTGCAATCATATATCAGTTTTGTTCTCTGTGACTTTTTTCTACAAAAACTGCATATTTAGGATGACAAAGTGTTAGGAAATTCTATATAGATTTCTTATTTCGGTTACCGACGTTTTGATCCAAGAATGTGGATCATCATCAGAGCCAAACATTAAAAAAATATATCTTAAAATTTAAGTATTTAATTAATATTTTAATTTTAAATTCGTCTGTGGCTTTAGTGCCTTCTTTCAGTCTCCACTGGCTTCTAATACTAGAGATGCGACTGGGATTCAAGTAAATGTCTTGTTCCTTTTTACCTACAAATGTAATTTTATTTATTAAATATTTAATAACATGTTTTGTCACCAATAGTGGACATCACTGTACCAATATTAGACAAGAAAACACACCAGTACTTGATATCACTTAATTAATATATTTAATTTATTTCTAATCAAATATGCACCTATACTGACAGTTTTTACCAAGGCACTATGATTAAAAAAAAAAATAAAAACTTCAAAAATGCATAAAACAAAACACTTATTTTTTAAATTAAATTACAAAGGGAGGAGATGGTCCGGGGTGGCGGTCATAAATAGGCTAAATAGTGGTAAAACTATTTTATTAAAAGCCAACGTTTCGACCCGACTTTGCAGGTCTTTTTCAGGGCTAGAACGGACAAGATATAAAAAGATAGAGAATTGTGGAAGTTACTTGATATTTAGACATTTGTTACCATCTATTTACTTCAGTTTAGGATCTTGTTACTTAGTTTATTCTGTTTATATTTTAATGTACTTACTTTTTATAATTTTAATAAGCTTATTCACATTGTTTATAATTTTTTGTCCAAATATTATGTAACTTCCACAATTCTCGATCTTTTTGTATTTTGTCCGTTCTCGTCCTGAAGAAGACCTGCAAAGTCGGGTCGAAACGTTGGCTTTTAATAAAATAGTTTTATCACTATTTAGCCTATTTATGACCGCCACCCCGGACCACCTCCTTCCTTTGTAATTTAATTTAAAAAATAAGTGTTTTGTTTTATGCATTTTTGAAGTTTTTATGTTTCTTTAATCATAGTTCATTGGAAAAAACTGTCAATATTGTCAACTGACTCATATTGTGTTTATATTATTATTACTTATGTGTCATATTTATCAATGTTATAGTCCCATTTTGAGGTTCGGTAAACATTCGTGATGGCTGCAATAAGAACTCTAGAAAGGGTTCTTTATAGTACACATGATTATTTGAATATGCTGAAATGTATAAATTGATATTATAATGCGTGCGCATCAATTCACATGGCTGTCCCACGGTAACATTTTTTACATTCGAATATATCTTAATATAATCTCCACGCATTTCTCGAGAGAAAAAGTTATAAATTATTGAAGTTTTGAAGTGAAATCTTCTTTAGGCGTGTTTTGCACTATTTTTTTTTTTGGAAAGTGAATTAGTTTGAGCCATCAGATCTCCGATGTGTAACGCTCCGAAAAAGTCGGCTGGAGTCGACTAATTGAAGTGTTTATACATATGGATTAAAATATCTCAAAAACTAAAAATCGTCGTAAACCTATGACATCCTGTCTTACAGTATCCTTTAATAACACCCCGCTTATCCCTGTTGAACAAATCCGGTACCTTGACAAACGTCTAACTTAGAATCCTCATACCAGACTTAAACAACCGACAAGAAACCGCTCGACGTTTCCGACTACTCCACAGCTTAATTACAAAAGACTCATATACATGACTACAATAAGACCTATTTGGACATACGGAGTTGAGATTTGGGGGTCCACAAAGCCATCGAATTCCTCACGCATCCAATCCTTACAATCGAAAATCCTCAACGCTCCTTACTTTGTCACAAATAAAATCATCTATAAAGACCTTAATGTTCCTTATGTTTCCGAATTGGCCCAATCCAGATACCTATCCTTCCATAATAAACTTCAGAACCATCCGAACCCTCTCGTTTCTAACCTGGCTTATTCCTCGATCTCTGATAATCCTCCGAGGCGTCTGAAAAGAAGCCGGCCTCGAGATCTCCTAACTGTAAATAGATTTTTTTTTTACAGTGCTACCAGTGGTTAGTTTCTCAACAAGTTCTTTCATGTTTTTATTTTCTGTTATTTCATTTACTGAATGTATTTTTTGTTAATATAGTTGTAAATATCATAAATAAAAAAAACTAAAAATCGGACCTGTATACTATAAGCGATGGAATTATTCAGCATTTCATCCTCTCTGTAATGGGCTAATATTTAAAATTTTATCCTAACGCGACGCTGTATTAGAGAGGCAAAAAGGGAAAAAATAGTATCGAAAACCATCTGATAACGAGTTTTATTGAAGGCATGAATAAAATTTCTCAGAAACTAAAAATCGGACAAACATACTGTAAGCAAGGGAAATGTTCTGTATTTTATCATCTTTATAATGAGTTATTTATAATTTATATTTTATATTAATAATCTCGTTTTTTTTATGTTTTTACTTACATCTTCTGGTCTAAAGCACACACCTTACTTTTTTTTTTTAATCGTTTTAAAATAAACATTACAATTTCCCAAAATATGTTGATGGAAAAAGAAATAGATTCTCGAGAAAAATAACAACCT